CCCATGGCTGGGTGTAAGGCTTGAGATAAATTGCCGCAAATCAGTGAATGGCAGGAAGCTCTCTCCTGTAACTAATGATAATGACGCTCACTGCCTATGATGCCAAGTGCCCTGCCGTCACTGAAAGGTCATTTTCTCTGGCCCTTGCCCAAGAGCTGCAGCCACTGGGGTCAGTTGCTGTCACTCTGCTAACTTCCACGTTGCCAGCGGCACAGGCTACTGTGTTTGTATCCTGGCTCACAGGTGGTTCTGGGCCACCCTGGCATCATGTGCACCCAAACCTCCATCCCCTCCCTGATCACCCCTCTGCCCTCTCTGTCCATACCCCAACCATTCTGCCTTATAGACTGCCCGTGGAACCTACAAACATGCTTCAATCTGTACCTTTGCTTATCAGTGTTCCTTCCCTTTAGGTCCAGCCCTCGATTTGCTGTGGTACTATCTCACCAGGGTGAAAGCCATAGCTCTTCCCTGATCCCTTGCCCAATGGCCCTCCAATCAGCTTTCAACTCCTGTGGCCCACAGTGACATTCCTAAAAGGCAGGCTTGATCATGCCTGCAACCTCAGTTTCCCAGCTGGCCTTTGCCCTTTTGACTCCAAGGCACCACCATGAGCCTCCATCCCTGCTTTCCCAGCCGGGGCTCTCATCTGACTCCTGCCTTCCCAGTCTCTGCCCAACCTTCTGAGCCACTTTCAGCTCTACATCCCAAGCTAGGGCCAGATAGGTACTGGTGATATTAAGGGAGACAGGACTGGCTTATGAATGAAGCGAAAAGGGTCCAGGAGGGTCCAGGAGCTTCATGAACAAGGACACTTTGGAGATATGACCTCTGTGTGGTTATGATCCTCATGGCTAGGAGGGGCTGGAGACTGCGCTGTGGACTCTGGAAATAAATACTGTGAGAAACAGACTCTTAAGGAAATGTCGAGCCAGCACGCTGATCTGCTTTTTGTCAGTCTGGTCTTGTGCACTACTTAAATGAACATATATTGTAATCTGTGTCAGACACAGACACGGTGTGTGTAAGGATCCGACTTCATTCTAGAATAACCCCAAGACATAGCGTATTACAAGTCCCACTGAACAGATGTGGAGTTGGTCGTGGGATATTTGAGCAGCTTTACTCATCTTGGGATTCAAATAAAAGCTAAGTCTACGATTTAAGCCCTAGCCACTGGGACTACAGAAGGTCCTAAAAATAAAACATGCTTATTTCTAGATGAAGAGAGAGCACTCTGGGCATAGGTGGGTGAGGTGAGAAATGGTGCTGAGTGACAGAAGGCGGAGTTACGGCCAGAAGAGGAGGCAGAAAGCTATGGAGAACAAAGGAAGTTAGATAAGGAGAGTACTGCCTCCTCAGTGGCACTAAGGGTTGACCCCAGGGGCTCCCAGAACTTCATCCTAACCCACCTCAGAGGGTCAGAGAGCTTGGGATGGATGTAGCCATCAGAACCTCAGAGAACTGTGGGATACTCAACCCATCTCATGACCACATCAAATGAACCAATTAGGAGTTTCATGATGTAATGAAATGAAGGCTTTTACAAATATGCAACTTTCTGATCTTGAATCCTAGAAGAGCCTTAGGACTTGAAATCGTGGATTCATAGACGGTGCAGAAAACCTGGAGACCAGAGCCTACCCCTGATTTTCTTTCTGATAGGGAAATTGAGGCTCAGAGAAGGCAAGACGTCTCTGAACATCACCTCCTGTGTTTGCAGCTTCAGGAGTAAGCACTCTTTCCAGCAGCCTTGTACGGGAGCTGGTGCTCATGCCAGGGTCACTGGAACCAGGATGGCTGTGCTTGGCAGCCTCCTCCCCTCCTGGTTTTCACATGGCCTTGGGAACACACCTCCCTGGAGGGAGAGAGCGCTCCAGGCACCTTAGAGGGCATGGTAGGGTGGAGTCTGTGGCCACCAAAGGCCTCCTGCCAGGCCCCCCACAGACCCAGCTTCTGCCAGGCATGTTGGTGGCAGGGTGGAGCCCTGACTGAGTGGCTCCTGTCCTCACACCCTGAGCAGGCAGGGAAGGGAAGGCATGCCAACTGGCACAGAAGCCCAAGGCTGAGGACTGCCCCAAGCAAGATAGGACATGGTTTCTTCAGCAACTGAGACCTAAGGTAGTCACGGCATTGCAATCACTCCTCCCTGTGGGGGGAGGGGGCCGAGGAAGAAAGACATTATTCACTCCTTGGAGACTTGGACTGGCTTTAGCCTGCACCCCAGCTGGGCTGGTGCTGCACCCTCTGCCAGGGGAGGCTGAGAGATAAACACAGCTCATTTGATACGGGCAAGCCAGGCCAGCCAGGCTTTGCTGGCTCTTGGGGGATAGGACCTGCTATGTGGCACCACCCTTCATGGTGGGTTGGTGGGAAGCAGGTAAGGAGAAAACTAAGTTGTGTGTCCCTCAGGTCCTCCATGGCCCACTTCATTCCAGACTATGGCATCATAACAATGGCCTCAAAGCTTTATCCTGAGAGGCCAAGAGGGCAGAGCAGGAGCCCTGTGAGGAGTCAGAGGAAAATTAGTTTTTTTCCTCTTTCAAAGCAACTCCCTAAGGTATAGGAATGGCCTAGGACCTCTAGCATCATGGAGGTATGTGTAAAGGGCCCTCTTCAGCCCACCCCAGTTTTTGTATGAGTTCCCATACAAGCTCTACTCAGCTAAAGGCTGGTCCTGAAAGCCAAAAAGAACATGATTCTGAGTCCCTGTTTCCAAGAAGCACCACTAGAGGTTAGGAGAGAGGCCCAAAAGGCAACTTCTACATAGTAGAAGCCATCAGGAGGAAAAGCCAACAAATGGAGTATGGTGGCTGATGGAGCAGAGAGACAAAGAGGCGGAGACCATAGACCTGGAGTTTGAGTTAGATGATGGCATGGGTGATAGGGTCTTCTTTGGACCCCAGGGCCCCGGGTTCAGATCACTGACTAGAGAACACTAGGCAATCCTGTGCTTTCCAGTATAGTTTTCTTGTAATCATGATGGCACAAAGCACTGCAGAATGAAAATTACATAGCCCATGTTTTAGACTGTTTTCATCTCCATGGCATTTGGTCATGTTCAAGGGAAGGTGGCTTTGTGCTTTCTTGCTGTGTTCATCATATAGTGTTCAATTAATATCATCAGCTGGAAGCACCAGCCAAGGAGCATGCATGGACTGGACGTAGGCCCCTACACAGCTGTATCAATGGGCAGCTCGGTCCTTGTATGGGTTCCCTAGTAAGGGAAATGACTCTGACATGAACTCTGTTGAGTGCTCTTTGAGCACTTCCCCCTGGCCGGGCTGCCTTGACAGGCCACAGGGGAAGAGGATGCGCTCAATCCTGATGCAACTCGATATGCTGGGGTGGGTGGATAGTAGAGGCTTTCCTGAGGGTAGGGGAATGGGAAGAGGGAAACAGGAAGGGAGAGACCAGGAGGAGAGGAGGGAGGGGACTACTACCAGGATGTAAAATGAATGGATAAAAATAAAAATTAAAAAAAAATAGCATCAACTGGCTCACGGAGTGGCTTGCAAGAATTGCAGCAATTAATTCTCACCCGATGTTTAGGATATCATTAATTCTTTTCACACAGGGTCTTGTATCTCAGGTTGTCCTCAAACTTATATGTAGCTGAGGATCACCCTGAACTTCTTCTCTTCCTCCCCCACCGTCAGAGTACTAGAGTTCTGTGCTACGATGCCTGATTATGAGATGCTGAGGATCAAACCCAGGGTTTCGAGTATGCTCAACCAAGCACTCTACCAAGCCAGCCTTCACCAGCTCCCATTAAGTAACTTATGTAAACACTCGGCACAGAGGATAACTGCAGGTTCCTTCTCCTTGGCTCAGTATGGAGGCACTTGGCTCTGGCTCTGGCTCCCGAAAAGAAGAGCTCAAGCGATGAGTTTTCCTATAGGAATGCAACATCCGTTAGGGGGCTGAAGATGCCCAGATGACTGTATGGAGGAGGAATGACAGAGACAGGGCAGGAGGCACAGTGAGCCCAGGTAGTCATGTTGAAATGGAAAGCCTGACCCTGGGCCAGCCCTGAGGGAGGGGGAGAAGTGAGGGTGACAGTGATTGGTTAGAAATGGAAGGGGATGGATGGTTTAAGAGAGTAGGTGATCAGGGGTAGGAAAGGCATCTAACCCTCCTCAAACACAAGCTAGTGTTTCATTCATTCAGAGAAACAACCCATGTACCTAGTAGCAATGGATGCACAGACAACTAAAAGTTAGTTAAGGTGACAGTCAGGACTCAGAGACGTAACAAAGGTGATTGTTGTCTGTGTGTGATGTGTGCGTGTCTCATGTGTGTGTGTGTGTGTGTGTGGAGGCCAGAGGTCGACATCAGGTGTCTTCCTGGCTCAATCCCCACATTCTGTATTGAGTCAGGGTCTGTCACTCAAACCCCTGATAGACTTGATGATTTGGCTAGTCTAGAGAGCTTCAGCGAGGCTAGCCAGCCAGCTTGCTCCAGGGATCCCCTGTTTCTGCCTCCCGCCACTAAAATTCCAGGTAGGCGACCACACCTTTGGGACATTCCACACGGTGCTGAGCATCTGACCGCCAGTTCCCACATTTGCCACATATGCGTAGAAAGCTCTTTGCCCCTTAACCATCTCCTCGGCCCACAAAGGTCACCTTTAATGCTACATGAAAGTCAGGTGCCACATGCCTGTGCCTGCGCATGTGTCTGTATGGAGACCCAGGCTTTTACCCTGCTTGGGTACTAACTTCTGTGTAGCCTTAGCATGTAATTTGTCCGTTATGGACCTCACGTTATCTATCTATGCATAAGAACTGCATTTTATAGCACAGTGTTGCTCTGTAAAGCATTTCATTGGTCCCCTTCTAGCCCTGTAAACTGCCAAGGCTGCGAGAGGGGCAGCCGCGTGCCTCACAGCAAGCATTTGGGTCAGCTGAGATTCATACTCAGACATTCTGGGAATGGGGATGAGGCAGGGGGTTAGGGTTGGAACCTTCTGAGACTAACGTCACTCATTGGCTTGTCAGGCCCAGGCAAAGTCTGCCTCTTCGGTGAGAAGATATACACCCCCGGCCAGAGCTGGCACCCCTACCTGGAACCACAAGGCACGATATACTGTGTGCGCTGCACCTGCTCCGAGGTAGGCTTCTCAGGCCACGGGGCCACCTAGAGCAGGGTGTCTGGGAGGTCAGAGGATGGGAGGACAGCCTGACTTAAGGCAGGCACCCAGGAATTCTCATCCTAACTCGATGTTGTCAGAGGCAGCACTGCAGATGGATGGGCTGAGGAGCTGGCACCCAGTCTGGTTTGTGGTGGTGCCAGCCCTGCAGTCTCCACCCAGCCGAGGATGAGCGCCTATGACTCCTTACTCACTCCTTTCCAAGGAATTCCCTCCAGCCTTCCTCCTAATCCTTCCTCAATAGACACTGCTCCAACTCAGCTGATCCAAATATTCATTCTCTAAGGCTTTGCCCAAAGCAGTAAATGACCTTTGTCTGGAGCATCTCTTCTTGCATGGACACCTGTGTCTCTCTCCTGATTACTATTCGAAGTTATGCACACCTTCCAGATGAGGCCCCAAGAATGAGTCTGACATTTAGCCAAAGGCTGAACCAAGTAAGGCAGAGACCATGTCTTTGTTTCCATTCCATCTCCTCCTAACCCCCTCACCCGTCAGCTTTCCATTACCACAACAAAACAATTGAGAAAATAATCATATAAACAGGAAAGGTTTATTCTATTTCACAGTTTTAGAGGCTAGATCGAGCCCAAGGTCAGTTGGCCTTATTGCTTACTTTGTTCCCACGGTCCTCTTCACGGGCACAACCCCCGGTGACCTATGGCCTGCCCACAAGATCCCATCTCCTGGAGGTCCTTAGAACCTCCACAGCTTCACCCTGGTACCTTTAACACCTTTGGGGGGTCATTCAACATCCAAACCATATCACTAACCCAGCACTCCCCTGGGCCTTGCACAGTCAGTTGAGTAGGATAAAGGAGACCCATGCAGTTCTCCACAGAGATCCAGAATTCTCCAGAGAAGTATGAGGATGGAAGAACAGGAGCGGGCCAGAGGGGATGTCTTGAACTCATTTTCTGGGTGATGCTGGGGGCTTCTGGCTCTCAAGCCCTCAGCACCCTCTTTTCCTCACAGACCAAGAGAGGGAGGAGGCAGAAACTCTGAGGACCTCCATGGACAAGGGAGAATCTCCAGGGGCAGAGAAGAGACCCTGAGGAGACCTGAGTGGGGAGCAAGTGACACAGCCCTTTTCTCTGCTTCCACACTGGGCCTACTCCTTCCTGGGTCTCTCCCTCCCCCTGTTCCCACCGTGTTAGCTTCAGAACTCAAACACAAACAGGGAAACAATACCCCCATGGCTCCAGCTGCCTCTTTTTTTTTTTTATCCTTAGCACATCTGAGGCCAATAAGCCATTTAAAAAAAGAACTTTATGAAATCCAGCCAGAAAACAGAAAGGAAACCATAACAGAAAAGTCCAGACGTGTCACATGATCCAGTTGACAAAGGCCAAGCTTTGTGATCCATTGGAGTTTACTCATGTCTCCATCCTCAGAGTTCACACATGTAGCTTCTTTTCCTTAGCCCAGAGCGCTGTTGCCCACATTTCCGAAGTGCAGCCTGAACACCTCATTTCTCCCCACCGTTGCCCTTCTTCACCATGGAAGCTACCTTCCTCTCTCACCTGGACCAGTGTATGAGCCCAACAACAGGCCTCTCTGCTGTTCCCCTCAAAATCCGTCCTCCATAAAGCAGCCACAATGACCTTCCCTCAACACAGAACTATGGTGTTCCCCATCCAATAGCTTTGGGTGGGGAAGTGTCTCATGTAGCCTAGGCTAACGCAAATGTATCTGCGGATAAGCTTGAGCTTCTGATCCTTCTGCCTCTACCAACAGTGCTGGGGCCACGGGCATGTGCCAATGGGCCTACTTTATGCAGCGCTTGGGATCGAACCCAGGGCTTCACGAGTGCTAGGCAAGCATTCTTTTAACGCAGCCCACTGGCAGTTCTGCCTGATCCAACAGCCTCCTTATCTTCCAACTCCATACCCTCACCGCAGCCACACCGCCTGACATCTGGAACATTCTCTGTAATCCCTCCATTGAAGTAGTCTTCTCTAATGTCACGGACGGCAGTGTTTCTCTTCCTGGTTCATGTGACCGTCACCTCCTTAGGAGGATTCCCTTACAGTCTCCAAATGTGGCCTTCTAATCCTATCACTTGATTTGGTCATTGCCATAAACATAACCTGAGGTTAGCTTGACCTGCTTCTTACCGTCCTATGGCCCACCTCCAGCCACTAGGACACAGGCTCCTGGGACTATCACTGGCCCCTGGTCACGTGCTCAGCATGAGCACCAACACTGCCTCAGCATCCCATGAGGGCATGGGCCCTGGTTATGCTTGTGTGACCTCCCCTAGCCTCTGGAATAGTCTTTGCTCCCAGCATGTACGCTCAAGACAGGAAGTGAGGTCATCTATATTTTCATAGCCACTCCAAAAATGATGGATTTGACCTTACAGTGAAGTTCCCTCTGGCTGCAAAGAACCCTTCCACATGCCTTGCCCCTGCTCTGTCACTACCCCCAAGCTGCCCCCACCTGGTCCACTTCAATAAGAGCCAAGAGAAAGGGTCAAGACCTTTAGACCACACGTCCCTCAAACTCCACCTTGCTTCTCTGTGGGCCTCATTTTACCCTCTTTTGATTGATTAAGCTCCTTAGGTATGGGATCTCTAGGGGATCACTGTTGAAGCACAAACCATTTTCTGGATCTGAGAACTCCCCTCAGCATCAGTCAGTCCTTGGTATTCTCTGGGACACGGGTATCTATGGTCTCCCTTAGTGCAAGAGGGTGCTTCTGGAAGAACTCCTGTCTTCAGCCTCTGCTGGGTAGAGGGCAAGAAAAGGCAACTACGGTGCATGAAGGCTGGGGCTACCTTGATTACCTTTAGGGTTCAATCGATGCTGGCTCCATTCATTTGAGAGCCTCTATGTCTGAGCCCCGGCTCTCTCTTCTCCCATCGCTTACCCACACTTTCAGATTTTAGTGGTTGCTTGCTTAGAGTCAAGCCCTTTGCCGACCATTGCTTTGGAGTTGATGGCTGAACAGGAAGACAATTGTAAAGGTTCATACAGTACAGAGTCTGTCACAGCAGCAAGAGCAAGGCGTGCAGAGGCTGAGAGATGGCCTGGCACTCTGGGAAGCCTCTGAAAGGGGATGTGGCCCCTGTCTCTGCCTCTGATCATCTCTTGCTGTATGTTTCTCTGATTCTCTCTCACCTGCTGAACTTGAAGCTGTGAAGGAACTTCAGCTCCTTTCTTCTCTGGTGCCAACCCCAGAGGCTCTGTGCAGGGTTCCACAGACCTCTTGTAGACTTGGGGAGTAGGCTCACAAAGACCCAAGGATTTTTCGTAGCAGATTTTTAGTCCTATCCTGGTCACTGTCCTCTTGTATTACTGCCCTCCTTTGAACACACAGCTCAGGGTCAGTACTGTAAGAAAAACTTGGTAGAGTTAAAAATAGCCCTGGCAGAGCACCAAGATCAGTGTCCAGACAGCTCAAGGCTTTTATTTCTATTCCTCATCCCCACTAAGGGGCCACGAGATCTGAGCAAACCTGGGACAGGTCTGTCCTCCCCATTGGCTAAGGGTGCTGATGAGTAGGCTAAGTGAGATCTGTGAGAAGGGTAGGGACTGGGCTCCTTTGAGTTTACTCTTAATCCTATTACACACAGGCTTAAGACAAAGTGGGCTTCTGCAGCGGGGGTGGAGGTTCCGGAAGGCAGTGGTTCTTTGGCCCAAGTCCCGCCCCTGCATCTCTTTCAGAACGGCCACGTGAACTGTTACCGCCTGCGATGCCCCCCGCTCCACTGCGCACAGCCTGTAATGGAGCCACAGCAGTGCTGTCCCAGGTGTGTGGGTAAGTAGCTTCTTCCTCCTGAGCTCCCCCCCACCATGACGGCTCACTCCTGCTCTAAGCCCCTGGCTGAGCGAAGCCTCCAGAAGGAAAAGAGACTCCTGTCCATCAGATACATGGGAACAAACAAAGGGTCGGTGGACCCCCAAGTGGGCTAGGGCCCCCAAATTGATACACATAGCAGAAGGCAGACGGAGTAGAAATTGGGTGGATGAGACAACTCAGCAGATAGGGGGACTTTCCATCATGATGAAAACCTGGGCACAATCCCTGGGACCCACGTGGTAAGAGGAGAAAACTGACTCAGAAAATTGCCCCTGACCTCCACCCACATGCCACAGCCTGCACCCCTTCCCCCAAAATGAGTAAATGTAATACAAAAATTTTAAGTTAAAAAAAGAAAGAAAGAATAAAAAGTGGCTGAGGGATATAGAAACTGGCTTGGCCTTCTGACCACACATTTGGATCCAGTCCCTCTGGCTATCCAGAAGTGAGGGAAAGTGAAGGTGAATGACTTGGGACTGACTGTCCCCTGTACGAGCCCATGGTGTCTCTGCTGTGGCTCATTTCTCTGCCTCTCGGATTGTGAACCTCTAGGTCGCAGGGCCAAGCCTGACATTGAGTGCTCCAAGAACACTCAGGGGCTGAGGGCAGGAGCATGTGGCCAGATGTAGGTATCAACAGGACCCCTTGGCTAGCTGATAAGGGAAATGTCTAGAAAGGTAAAAGCCAGACCTGAGTTTAAAGGCTAAGGAGGGAGGGAGGAAGGAGAAAGAGGGAGGAAGGGAGAAAGGGAGGGGAAGGGAGGGGGAAAAAAGGAGGAAAGGAGGAGAGAGAGAGAACACAATCTTCAGAAAATTGGCCTTTCTACTTCTGGCAAAAATCTTAAATCCATGGAAATTTCATTTTCTTCTTCCTCCTACTCTCCTGCCCACAGATCCTCATGTCCCCTCTGGGCTCCGAGCTCCCCTAAAGTCCTGCCAGCTCAATGAGACCACATACCAACATGGAGAGATCTTCAGTGCCCAGGAGCTGATCCCCACCCGCCAGCCCAACCAGTGTGTCCTCTGTAGCTGTATTGTAAGACCCTCTACAGTCTCTGTGGCCCAAGCCAGTGTCTATCCTACAAAGGGGTGGGATGGACCATTAAGTGAGAATCAGAGAGGTTGGGGGCAAGGGAACTCCTGGGGTCCACCATGTCCTGCCCCTAGCTTAGTGAGATGACATTTTGCTCTGTTTCCACATCTGGTCCCCAAATAATAAGAGTAGCCCATTTTCACTTCCTCCAGTGGACACAGCACTCCTTGTTTCTCTGTCTTCTCTGGCTCCACACCCAGGGCCTGGCATGCAGAGGATGCCCAGTGGTTGCTGTAGAATGAGTGAATGAATACCAGTTATCCGTCCCAGGACACAGACAGGGCCTGACAGTAGCAGATGGGATTTAGTCTGAAGTGCATAGACTCTCCATCCCCGTGGTTGGAGTAAGGCCTAGGAACAGCAGGGTTGACAGACCTGTGACTGGGAGGCAGAGGAAGGTCAAGCAGGCATGACTTAGGAAGTCTCCATCTTCTTGCATGGGAGAGTCTCCCTGTGGCTCTCTTCCTGTCATGCGGGCTCTCTGCTGTCACTCTTACCCTCAGTAGTAGCTTTCCTATCTCTTTACTCCCTGTTGCCAAGCCTCTCTGGTCTTAGTCCCTGACTCCTTGAGGGAGTCTTCAGCCTCTTTCTAGGTGATGTGTCAGTGAGCTGTGCTTGAACTCCATATCTGCCCCAGCGCTGTGAGACTTTTCCTGGAGAGACTTGAACAAACATCTTTCTTCCACAGATAGGGTACCAACAATTAGCCAAAGAAACTATTCCACTCAAGTCTAAACTTGGTGCATCGGCGACATGCTGGGTCACTTACGGGAGCGTGGGTGGCTCGAAGGCAACGCATCACTAAAACTCCCTCCCTAACGTGTATGACGATGCATTGCCAATGCATCCAATGCAAGCGGCTCCACCCGAGGGCCCTTTTCCCAGCTGCTGTTGCTGCTCATATAATCTTAGAGAGAAGCCTTCGGGAGCCCTAGAACTTTCTGAGCGTCCTAAGCCTTGTAAATTTCCCTGGTTTCCGGAGTCTTATGAGCCTCCATCCTCCTTGCAGGAGGAAATGTTTCGATTTGGAGGGAAACACTTAGTTCCCAGTGTGACATAGGCAAGCCGTCTCTCTCTAACCTGCTTCCTCATTTTTCTTCCATTTCCATCCATGAATCTTAAAGTTTCCATGTGGCAGAGGGAAGAGCCAACCAGCATCTGGAAATGGTTACCTGTCAGGCTAGTGAGTGGCTGCTGGGCAGAGCATGTGCCTCTTGCCATAGTCTAGAACATTGCACTGCTAGCTTATGTTCATGGAGCTGTCTAGGGGGAAGACCCCACCCTGTTCAGAGAAGCAGACAGAACTCAGGGCGGTTAAGTAGCTTGCCGATGGCTTCAGAGCCAAAATCCAAACCCAGACCTCCATGACCCCTGAAGTCCATGTTCTTTTCCCAGTAGAGTGCTGCTTCCCATGAAAGGGGCTGCCTGCACTGGGACAAGGCTTTGGGAAGAGGCAGAGGTGACAGTTGTGGATGGAGAGGATGTTCTAATGGCTCCTTTGCCCAGCCTTTCTAACCGCATGCCTCTCCTTTCCTTCATCGCATCAGCACGTATGGTTCTGGCTTGTGTTCTGACCTCCCCTCTGGGAGTGGGAGCCTTACATCTCAGACTCATGGGGAGGACTCAAAACCGCCTCGTTTCCTGTAGGACCGTGGGGCCTCAGAGCCGCCTGTCACAGCCACACTCAAAGGTGTGAACGCTGCCTTTCACAGCAGGTGAAACTCAGGAAAGAAGTCCTCTCCAAAGATGCCAACTGGCCTGCCTCCCTGAGGGCCCTGCATCCTGCAGTTTCACCTTTCAGAGTGGGCCTTGAAATTGGAGGCCAGTGGTTTTCAGAAGAGCAATAAAAAAGCCTAGGAGTTACCCATGGAGTCCTATGTTATGCTGGGTCTCTGATGTGGGCCCCGGAGAAAGATACTGATGTCAGTAGGAAAACCTGAAGCCTGGGCCCTGGCCCCCTCTATACCCTGACTGTCTCTGTGATTGGATAGCACAGCTCCCCACTCATCCCCAGCACTCCCCTTATCTTGAAGCTCACCTCACAAGTTTCTGTGAAAGCCAGGGGAGGTGATGTTCTTTTGGGGCTGACTTGCCTTGCTCAGGAACCACATGCCACTCCCTCCATCCTCTACCTCAAGGGAGACCTCAAGGCTATTTGCTCCCAGGAAAAGAGGCTCTTCTGGGCCCCCAAGGCTGATCTTCAACAGATCTCATTTCCAATCTGGTATGTTCTTTCATCAGGAGGGCCATACTTACTGCGGTCTCATGACCTGCCCTGAACCCAGCTGCCCCACCCCACTCCCTCTGCCTGATTCCTGCTGTCAGACCTGCAAAGGTGAGTGTCATAGTGAACTCTGTCACCTTGACTCAGCCTAGTGTCATTTGAAAGGAAAGCCTTAACTGAGGAATTGCCTGTATCAGACAGGCTTGTGGGTGTGTCTATGGAGAATTGTCTTAGGATGCCCACTATGAGCAGTGCCATCCCCTAGGCAGGTGGTCCTGGCCTACCTAAGTCAAACAAGCTTGCAAGCAGTAGTCTTCCCTGGTTTCTGCTTCAAGTTCCCACTTGAGTTCCCGAATTGACTTTCCTCAATGGTGGACTATAACTTGTAAGCTGATATACAAACTGTTCTTAGTGAGAGTTCAGTGTTTTGTCACAGCATTAACTACAGCTGTGAGTCTTCCCGAAGTCTGCCAGGTCTCACAGCACCCCCTTCATGGACTTCCCGGAGAGCCTGGGGACAGCCAGCGTGTAATAGGGAGGGAGTAGCTTGGCATGGATGTCCCCGGAAGCAGGACCCACGGGCAGTGTTGTGCTGTGCCACTTCTACAATCCCAGGAAGCAGTGTGAGGGTGAGAGAAGAGGACAGAAAAGTTTAGCCCCCAAACTGTCAACTCCCATTGGCCAGGGCTTGCATCAATAACCCTCGCTAACGCTCTTGACTCCTGCAGTATGGGTGACAGGCAGCTCTGGGAGCAGCAGGCAGTGAGGGGAGGGGCTTGGCAGGGGCCGTGGGTTGGAGGTACTGCAAGGGTGAAGCTGAGGACGACTAGCTAGTGGGAGCAGAATGGGGGCTGCTGCAGAGCTTTTCGAGGCGGCGCTATCCCACAACAACAAGGCCAAAAGATCAAGCGGCACCCAGGAGGAGATGAGAATGGGCTGAGACCTTGTCAATCCTGTCCTCCTCATGCCAGCATAGGGCACAGGGTTGGATTCCCTGGGTAGATTCTCTGGGTAAACTGAGGCTGTTTCATATGCTGCTAAAGCACAGGCTGGGCCTGAGCAGAGGTATACAATTGGACTTCCCGTGTGGCCTTGGGGAGCCTCAGCTATTGGGGTTTGGGAAGACATACTTCTTTTTAGCTCTCCTTACTCTCTAGACACCAGCTTGGAGGGGAACGGAGAGGCTGGCCTCGCAGCTCTAACAGGCAGACCCTAATGCCCAGGTCTCTGAAGCACAGGCATTCAAGACAAGCCAGACGCTGGAGTGAGGCAAGGGCTTGGGAAAAGAGAATGGCGCTGAGCTTCAGGAAGCTGCAGGGCCCTCTCTGTGGGCTGGTTCCTTGGGAATAACAGCTAGAAGAGGCCTCACGATTCCTCTGGAGGCAGAGGACTGAAGAGGAGAGCCCTAGAAGTGTGCAGTGAAAACCCTGGTCACAGACATGGGCTCCTGGGATCTTAGAACCATCCATGAAGGGATGATCGATATCCCAGTATGGTGACTTTTAAGTAGACTGAGTAAGACCCTCTGAGTAAACCGAGCAGTTCAGGCCCAGGAGTGACCAGAAGGTCAGTGTTGGGAGCCGAAGAGGCAGCCTAGTGGTGGAGATTTTGATAATTCAATAAAGACAAAGACAGGCTGTATAGCACAGTGTAAGCCCCTCTAAGGTAGCCCACAGGCTGGGGCTACAGATGTGGCATCAGGCTTTTGGAAGGGACAGAGATGTAGGCAGAGGCCTCAGGGCCATGGCCGCAAGGCTGAGCAGTCTCCTTTTCTCAGACAGGACAAGTGAGAGGCCCACAGAAGAGGACACAGTACAGGTGCAGCATGGAGAGGTAAGTGCGCGCACAGACGTGGTGCGGAGAGAGGCCGGCCTAGGCCAAAATCGGCCTGCCTCTCCAGTACACACCGTCTTACCTATTCCTGGTCCTCTATCCCTCTGCTTGATAGCTCCAAGGCCTGAGAACTTGACTCTGGCTCAGCTGCACTGGTACCTCTATATTCCAGCCTCTCTCTTTCTCCCTCTCTCACTCTCCCTGTCACCATGATTTCCATTATGGCTGATGGGCCAGAAGGGAACAGGCTGCCACATAGGACAGGGTAGGCCCCAAAGGCCCTTATTTCCCTCTGGGGAATCTCTGACACTGATCTATCCAGAGCCTGTGTGTATGGGCAGACCACACCCTTGAGGAATGGCCTCTGGCTTGATCCATGCCTCTGTGCCTCATTTCTGGGATACAGGTTCTTTGCCAGGGATCTGCCTTTTTGCCCCGCCCCCCCACACACACACACAATCATCTTGGCTCCTGTGGATCTTGTCTAGAATTCAGATGGCCTAGCCTTCCCAGTTCTCTGTGGCCTGAGGGGAAAGAGATGGGAGAATGAGCCACACCCCGACTCAGGCCCCCTATCGCTCCTCTGTGCCATGTTACAGTGTGAAAACTCCTTCTCTTTTTCCATCCTGGCCTCCGGGAGCCTAGGACACCCAAAGCTGGACTCCTGACCTTTCTTCCTCAGCCAGGGCATCTGCCCTTACCAGGCTGATTTCTCAGGAGGGTCCATAAAACTCCTTCCCGCCTATCCCCAGAAAGCAGCGTGTGAGGCCCAAGGCTGGGCAGACCCTGAACAGCTCCTTCCTGAGTAACTGAGTAGCTTGTACAGCTGGGGGTTGTGTCCTTCAAGTCCTTCTTGACTCAGTGCCACCCAACACATGAGCAGCTTCCTGGGCACTTCCTGTGTGCCAGAGCCTGTGCTGGGGCCTGGGGTGTTTCTATTCTGCACTCTCTGTCTCTGGGCCATGAAAGCCTTAAAGACTGTGTGGAGGGGAAAAGACTGTAGAAGGCATGCAGAAGGAAGGGTGTAAGTGGCTCCTGAACGCTGGGGAAAAGAACAGGCTCTTCTCTCTGGCCCTCAGGCCTGTCGTTCCCTTCTGTGGCCTGGAGCTACCGAGCTGCAGAGCACCTGCCCCATAGGCTGCCCTCCCCACCCACACCAAGCTGCCTCATCCCTCCTAGATTGGTGGGGAGGGGCAGAGGGATGGAGAGTAGGACCTGAGAGCTTGGAGCTTGGACTCCAGTGATTATGGAAAGGGAGCTCTTTTTAAAACTCTGTGTTTCTAGGTGGACCCTGTTTGTTTTTGGTTTTGGTTTGGTTTGGTTTTTTCCCTGCACTGTGGAATTCTGAAACCTTCTGGGATCTTCAGAGGCCCATTTGTTGTCTCAGCCGACTTATCCTAAGCAATAAAATTTCCTCTGCATCTGATCCCATGTTGCTCTGCTACCCACTGCAGTCCCAAGGTCTGAAAAGGACTTGGTGGAGGCTGGCTTGCCAAATCCTTGTCAGTGCTCTCTCGCTCTCTCTCTCTCTCTCTCTCTCTCTCTCTCTCTCCCCTCTCTCCCTCTCTCTTTCTTTCTCTCCCCCACTCTGGGAAGTCCTTGAGTCTCCACTAGCAGGCCTCTTGATGCAGCATGGTTTGTGACCCCTGCTGTGGCCTGTCCCTCTGCATCCTGCCTGCTGTTTGCAGAGACATTCCCAGGATCCATGCTCAGAGGACAGGAAGAGGAGAGGCCCCGGCACCCCAGCCCCTACCAGTGTCAGCTCCCCGCTGAGCTTCCTCACCCGATACTTCCGACCAATAGGAACCGGCAGCACTACTATCAAGATTATACTGAAGGAGAAACATAAAAAAGGTGGGGACAGGACCCTCCTCTGTCTGCTGCTGGGGCGGGGTCTACCTCCTGAACCCCCTACTCTGGTTCACCGCCTCAGTCCGGCCGGGCGCACCCTTGAAGATCATTAGTGCCATTTAACAGATGAGGCTACCGAGGTGCACAAGTACCGAATTAGGGAAAGAACCAGTCCTGCTTTGTAGAGGTGGGCATGTCTCACCATGTAGCTCAGGCTGGCCTTGAGCTTCAGATCTTCCCGTCAATGCCTCCAAGTAATAATACTTTATTGAGCATCTATCATGTCTTTATTGAGAAGTAGAGGAGACAGAACAGAGTCTGTCCCAGTCTCCACCCAGTCTCCTAGACTACTTGGGAGACAGGTGAGCAAGTTAGCATGAGACAGGGCTAAGGACAAGACTGTCCAACGGAGGGGAGGCAGAGCTGGTCTGCAGGGTGACAGAGGGGATGGGGAAGGGCCCCTGGCTGCAGAAGGGGGGAACAGGGGCTCACAGCAGGATTCCAGACTGGTAGAGAAGGAAGAGCCACGGGGCTACAGAATCCCAAATCCTGGGCTGGGGACGAGACTCGAAGGCAGGGAAGCGGCCCTGTTAGTGTTCACAACACCAGACGCCCACAGTTGTCCTTGGTCCTCCTACTGCCAGGCCAGCACCCTCCTTGCCCCACCAGAAGGACTTCGGCAGGGGAGGGCTCACCATCCTTAGTGGACCTTGGGTACTAGGAGGGACGTCAGGGTTGGTACAGGCTTTACTCCCTGGCCTGCACCATGCGAGCGGTGCAGCTGGCGCTGACTCCGGGCCTACTCTACACTTTGAGCTAAAGGCTCCGCCAGACGCAAGGCCCTGACCATCCCCCCCGTCCCCCCGTGCTCATGTTCCAGCTTGCACCCACAATGGGAAGACGTACTCCCACGGGCAGGTGTGGAATCCCACAGTGCTCTCCTTCGGGCCCATGCCCTGCATCCTGTGCACATGTGTGGATGGCCACCAGGACTGCCATCGGGTGACCTGCCCCACCCAGTATCCCTGCAGTCAACCCAAGAAGGTGGCCGGGAAGTGCTGTAAGATCTGCCCAGGTAAGAGGGATGCTGAGCGCAGGGGAGCGCCACCCACAGGCGCTGGGCGGCTAGGGGACCCCCATGGTGCTTACACTTAGCCACAGATGTGGGGTTTGCAGGTGCCCAGACTGCTGGATGCACCGGCATAGAGAACCCCAGACTACATGGAACCACCCAGCACGGCAGCGCCTCAGAGGCTCTTGACATAGACACAAAATCAAATGACCTTCCGCACTCTAGGCAGCGATAAAATATTAGAACACTGGACCTTTGAGACTAGCCGATGTTGACTGAACACATCACAAACTTCTCTCTCTCTCTCTCTCTCTCTCTCTCTCTCTCTCTATCTCAGAGGATGAGGCAGACGCTGACCACAGCGAGGTCATTTCCACCAGGTGTCCCAAGGTGCCTGGCCAGGTCTCTGTGTACACATTGGTGCCTCCAAGCCCAGACAGCCTGCACCGCTTTGTCCTGGAGCATGAAGCATCGGACCAGGTAGAGGTCTACATCTGGAAGCTGGTGAAAGGTGAGTACCCAGCTCCGTCTCCCAGCCTCATGTTCCTCCACTACCTGCCTGTCCTCAGAACCCATAGGGGCCTTAAGGGGGCTTTGCTGGTCAGATGCCTTGGCATTCTTCCAGGGGTAAGAACCCCTGATTCCACCCCCATTCCCATTCCTTTGTGATTCCTATTAGCTCTGATAAGCTCGCCAGGGCCCCTGGATGCTCCCTCTCCTGGTCATGGAGCATTACTACACCCTTTGAGGAGCTGACCTTAAAATCATAGACTCTACTGCTGAGGTTGAAGCATTGAGCCAGATCCAGAACCTGGAGAAAGGAAGATTCAGGGTGTGGGGACTGCTGGCTCCTGACTTTGGTGGGCTGCCCTGCCAGAGTGCGCAGCTTTACTTGAGTGACTGCAGAGATGAGGCCACAGACAGAGGCTATGGAACCAGGCAGACCTGGGTTCAAATTTCACCCCTGCTACTTCAAATCCCGGCTCTTCTCATTCTTACCTGTGTGACCTTGGGCAATCACTTAGCCTCTTTGGACCTCAGCGTTCTCTTCCATGAACTGGGGGAAGGGTCTTTAGGATAATCCCCAACCTCTGGGATGTGGCAAGAACGTCTGTATTCTCCTACCACTGGCTGGCATGCTGGAGAGGTGGGCTTCTGTCGAGTGCGAGGAGTCGCTTGTTCACTCTCAAAGCTTTCCTATGGCTAGGGGGACGTGCAGAGCTCACAGGGCGGGAGAGGCAGGAGCAGGGACTCTCCCCAGTGTTCCGAACCGGATCACACTGTTTCCCAGGCTGCTGCTGGCTACAGCTCTAGGACCACCCACACTCTACCCCCCAGCAGGCGCTGGGATAGCAGGAAGCAGGAAGCCCCCCCCCCCCCGTCCTTGGGAACACATGGCTTGATGACTCGTGTGGAACAGGTGCTTGTGGGGAGCTGACCTGGCCAGAAAAGGCTTCCTAGAGGGTGGACTTTTACAAGTGGGGCAAGCAGGAGGGCCTTGGAGAAGCCACAGGGCCTCTGCAGCAGCTCTGTGCTCTGTGATCTGTACATAGCAGACGCCATGTGCGAAATGATCCTCCCAAGAAGCCTGGTGGTATGTACTCTCAGGCCCCATTTTATGCATGAGAAAACGAAGTCTGCAAGGCTGGGGCACAGCTTAGTCACTGAAGTGCTCACCCAGAAGGCCCCGGGTTCAATCCCCAGCACAGTATAAACCCAGTATAGTAGCACACACCTATAATCCCAGAAGTGGGATTTCAAGGTCATTTTCCAATACACAGAGAATCTGTGACCAGCTTGGGCTACACAGACCTGTCAAAGGAAGGAAGTGCAGGCTCCGTCTGGCAGAGGTAATGACTTGCCGGAAGGCTTAGGGAGGTGCCTGAGAAAGAGCAAGAAGGGCCAGGATGACCCAGAGAGAATGGGGGGCGGATTTGTTTTCCACGTCATCATCATAGACCCAGCAAGAAAGAAATGAGGAGGTCTCTCCAGCTCCACCACACCAGGCCGTACTGTCCTGCCCCAGCAGTGCTCCCCATCACCTAAACATTCTGATTCCCTCCCTGCCCCAGACTGACACACTCCCTGGCTCATCATCAGGGCTGCCGATTGCAGATTTCTCCCTCAGAGGGGTGGAAACGAATGAACAGTGACCAATGGACCTGCCCCAGCAAGGCCACTCCATCTGGGACCAGCCCGGAGCATAGTGGGCTCCGGCTTAAGAGTCCGTGTGACTCTGGAGTTTCCATTTGTCCCCTGATGGCCCCTGACCCCTGCTCTACCCCTGTGCAGGTGCCTCCCTCTCAGCCCAGAACATCTCAGTCCAGAGAAGTTTGGCTTCCCTGTGAGCTGGACTGGCCTATTGCCTGAAACTCCCTTACCAGGGCCAGCTCTGCCTAGGGGCCCATGGGACCCAGCTGTGCTCAGACTCCACAAAGCCTTTCAGAAGAGCAAGAGACACATTCAAGACCCCAGGCCAAAGGCCTTGTAGACCATGGGGGAGGGACTTCCTCATACCTGTTGCCCCTTCTCCCATATTTTCCATGTACCAGGGAGCATGCAGTGGCCAGCCTCTGCAGAAACACCTGTCCTCATCTTATAGAAAATAGTCCTTGCCACTCTGCTGCAGCCCTAGGGCCTTCAGAGCTATATGCTGGTTCTTGGCATCTAAGCTGGGCTCCAAGGACAGTGCTGGCTTTTTCCTAGTTCCTGAAACTTACTCCCAGCATCTGGGTTTTCTGTTCCCCTCCATGGGACCTCACTCTGATCCCTAGATACAGATCTGGTTCCTGGTTTTCCCCACGGCAGTTCTGGCCCAGCTAGGCTTTCCTGGTTGCATCTCTGGCCAGAGGCCAGGGGTAGGTAACAGCCAGTGCCACCTCACAGACCATGTGCTTAGGGCCTCAGTGCCATGGATAGCTTCCCATAAAGTGAAAATACCAGAGGATTCAATTAACACCTCATTTCTCCTGGGGGTTCACTAGATTACATACAAATACATTTATCTACTCATTCACCCAGCCAGCCAGCTACTCCCACATTTATCTGTTCATCCACCCTTACACCCATCTTTCTGCCTATCCATCCATCCATCTACCTATCTATCCATTCATCAACACACCCATCTATCCATCCACCCAGCTGCCCCACACACATTTATTCATCTACCTCCACACCCATTTGTCCATCTATCCATCCATCCATCCACTTGTCCATTGATACATACACACATACATACATACATATACATACGTACACCCATTCATCCTTCTACTCAGGGAATCATTTGTCATACATGTTTCATGCTTAGAACCCAGAGAGTTGAGTACTCAAGAGGTCCACATCTGGAAGAGAAGGTAGGAAAAGGCGTAATGACAGCACCACAGGGATGGCGGTGACTGGTCTGGGAAGATGGCTTGGTTGAAAAAGTGCTTGCCTCGAAAGCATGAGAAGCTCAGCTCAGTCCCCAGAAGGCATGTAAAGATGACGGGTGCGGTGACACACGCTTGTTATCACAGCGTTCAGGAAGTGGAAACAGGAGGACCCCAGCCAGACTAGCCTACCGGGTGAGCTCCAGGCCAATGGAAGACCCTGTCTCAAAGGAAGAGGGCAACATTAGTGAGGATGGTACCCCAGGTTGTCTGTCCTTTGCCTTCCATATTCACACACATATGTGTGAACACACACCCACACACATAAACACATCTGAAAAGAAGAATTGGGTAAAATGGTAAACAGAACCTGGGTGTGCTAGGTCCCGTGGAGAGGAGCTGTAACCACCTTCAGGGTGGATCAGGGAAGCCTTCCGACTTAGAGGATGGGTCACTCACTTGCTGTCCTCAGTAGGTGCAGAAAGCAACAGCAGGAGGACTGGTTTCCTCCTGAGACCTCAGGTACTAGCTAGGACTGGGCCACACTGAAGACACAATAGCTCCATGTCCTTTGATGTCTGAATCAACACAGCTCTGGACTTCGATCATATGCTGTATGCTACAGAAGAGCTTGGCTGGTCTACAAGGGTCAGCCTTCTCTTCTTTATTTTTCCTCTTTTATTCCTCCCTCCCTCCTTTCCTACACCAAGGGGTATGAGGACTGTACTAGTGAAAGAGCAGCAGTAGAGAAAGGAGGCTAAAGGAACAGGTTTTACGTATTTTGGAAGTGACAGGTGGTCAGAGAATCCAGCACATTGTGGTTTAAGAGGGGTTAGGGCCCTACGGTAGTGCCTGAGGAGGGGCAACGGGGTAGGAGAACAAACTGGAACCTTGCAGATTTAGCCCACATTATTTTGGTGTCTCATCAGACTGGGGGCACAGAGGGAGGTGGCGGGGTGAGTTGTGTCACCCCATCCTACGGCTCATGCTGTGTCTTTCCACAGGAATCTTCCATTTGGTTCAGATCAAGAGAGTCAGGAAGCAAGATTTCCAGAAAGAGGCCCAGAACTTCCGGCTGCTCACCGGCACCCATGAAGGTGAGACCTTGGACGTGGAATAGGGCCAGGCAGGGGAGCAGAGACAAAGCAGGACCTCGGGGAGTTCCCAGGCTGCTGGTGTCAGGGGGAGGGGGGAGGGGGCTGTCAGCCATGCGGACGTCAGTTCCCAGCACAGGAATCCAGCGGGTGCCTGGGCCAGGGATTTCTCAATCCCTAAGTGAGAGAGAGAAGGTGAGACTGCGCAGCTGGCCTTGTCTTGGCCCCGTAGTGTCAGGTCTGAGCCCCAGGCCCTGGGGCTCCCCATGCCTCCAGACCAGTGGCTCTCAACCTGTGCATCGCGACCCCTTTGGAGTCACATATCAGATATTTACATTTCGGAACAGTGGCAAAATCACAGTTATGAAGTAGCAACAAGATGACTTTATGGTTGGGGTCACTACAACATGAGGAACTGTATTAAAGGGTCTCAGCCTTAGGAAGGCTGGGAACCGCTGCTCTAGACTGCCCGTTCTCAATAAGACCCTTCTAACCTCTTTCCTTGACACTCTAATTTGCTCTGCATTACTCTGGCCCCGGATGGGTCTGGGGTGGGGTGGCAGGTCAGGTGCCAAATGAAACATTACCCACAGAAGTCAGGAAACCCCGCCCCTAAATGCAGAGTGTCTGAAGGCTAAGTGTGCAACTAAAAGACAGGGACCTTACCTCTCCTCCAGCGGGTCCCAAACCCTGCCTGGCCCATACAGCCTCACCTGCCTCAAGCATTAAAAGGCCGAGCCGCCGCTATTGTCAGTCACATGCTTGTGAGATGCATGGCCAAACACGCCTGTCTCTCCCACCCCCATCCATGCAGGTTACTGGACTGTCTTCCTATCCCAGACTCCAGAGCTGAAAGTCACAGCCAGCCCAGACAAAGTAACCAAGACATTATAACAAGGACCTAAACCGTTGCAGATATGAGCTTTATTGTGTTTGTTATTGTGTAGTAATAAAGAAGTTGCATTTACCCCCATTCCTGCCTGTTGACTTCACGTCCCATGACCGGGGACCCTTCTAGGCGCATGCCTTTGTCCGGAATTTATATGGGTAGAAGCAGACTCAGAAAGTGCACAGAGGGGCCCTGGACCTCACAGCAGCTTTTCTTCAGAGCCATGGATAGCCCTTGCAGCCTCCTTGCCCAGGCCTTGTCTCCCAATACCCTGACCCCTAAGCCCCGGAAAGGCTGTTTTTATTGGTTGCACCTCCACCCCTCCAAGAGCTTCATGGCACTGAGCCTAAGAAGAGGAACTACCTTAGTTAGCCAAGAGGTAGGATCACAACCTCAGTGCGCTTTCGCTGGAGCCTGGGGCCCTCCTACGGCCAGGGAATCGGAGTTTAGAGAGGAGCAGGCACGCAGGGGGTTGGTAGGTGGCCAGGGCTGGAAGCCGGGGCTCTGGCTCCAGGCTTGTCCTCCTTCCCCCGTTTTTTGTTGCCACATGAGCAGCCTTACCTCCAAGGGATCCAAGACTAGTCCGATTGCCAAGTTGGCTTGCTGTCTGAGAAGGCCTAACCCTTACAGCGAAAGACAAATCAACCCTTTATCCTGCCCACGTGTGTAAGGGCTTGTGCTGTCAAACATGCTTTATGGCCCATGACTTCCCTTACGTCAAACAATGTAGGATTTACCCCCACTCTGGAGAGGCCTCTGGAGGCTTGAGTAAGACAGGATTTCCCAGAACCTCACAGTAATGAGTAGCAAGGCAGGACCTGAACTCGGGTCGTCTGCCAGCCTGGTGAAACTCTCAGAATAGCCAGGCTCAGCCATCCACAGCCCCAGCCCCCAGCTCTTCATCTGGGACAGATTAGAAGCAGTGAGAAAATGGGGGACAGAGGCCTGCTGGTTGGATCTGTGCGGCCACCTAGAGGGCCCACCCTGTTGTCTCCACAGTCTTGGTTCCACTATACTGTCTGGGGATCTAAGCGGCCACCAATGCCACTTTCATGGGGAATTGCTCTCCTAAAGCTCCCTCCCTTTGCCAGCTCTTGGGTTAGGGCACAGGCTCGGTTAGAAATACATGTCTGTGGCCTCCCTGTCAACTCATAGCCACTTCCTGTCCCTTAAAGTGGAGAGTTATTACTTTGGCTAGCTTGGCCACTCTGGTGGTGGGTTCTGAGCAATTAAGGAACCTAGAGGCACAGCCATTGATAGGATGGCCTCTGACCGTCTCTCCAGCTCTATGAAATGTCTCTTCAGCAATGCTTTCCCAATGACCCTGTAGTGAAATTTTTGTAATTTTGGTTTCTTTAAACACACACACACACACACACACACACACACACACACACACGGCTATGTTATGGGAATGTTTTTGTTTTAATCCCAGGTGACTATGATTTGTCTCATGCTTTTGCAATCTGTAGATAGTTTGTGGAGGATACAGAAATGCTAGGGCCCCTGAAAGGTGGTGTTGCTATTGGTGGCAGGATGCTGTTGGCTGTTGGTTGTCAAGTAGTCATGTGCAAAGAAATGAAGAAGAAGAGAAGGAGGAGGAAGAGGAAGAGGAAGGAGAAGAAGAAGGAGAAGAAATTAGATATCCTGACAACAAAGAAGAAACTTACCCCAAGAAGGCAACGGTCCTAATCATCAGGAGTAGTCTAACGATAACTTCACCCCCTTTCCCCGCTATCTTTTTTTTTCCTCTCCTATCTAGTGTTAGGGGATTAATAAGGGTGGAGAAGGGTGGAGAAGCGTGGAAGAGAGAAAAAAGAACCCACAAAGTATTGAATACTGGCTACCCTCCCCCACCTCCCCCCTAGTCTCCTCAGCACTCTTCCCATCACATGCTTATAGTCAAGCTCTACAGTCCTGGGTTTCAGGGCAGGAGTGGGTCCCCAGTGTACTTTTCCTGATCTGGCAGGACAAGCATCCTTCCTGTTTCTTTAAAAGGCGTATCTCTTCCCCATCGGAGGGGGGGGGGGACATTTTATATATCAAGCCCTCCTTACTTCAATCCAGCCCATTCTATTTGAGCAAGCACTCATTTTGAACAACACCAAGCTGCTCCATGGTTTCACACATTTTTTTCAGCCACTCTGGGGTAAACTTTCTGCTAGACAATAACACTGAATAAGGAACTGATAGTGCCCTTCCCACATCTGGAGGAGGAGGACAGCAATGAGCATAAGGTGATAGAATCATAACATCTGAGTGATGAAGAAGGTGAAGGCAAGATTTCAAGGGCCACAGCCTCTAACCCCAACTGAGGACACTTACACAGGCTCTGGAGGTTGGGGAAGAGATAGAAAAGTAGTGGGTGGAGAGAGAGAGAGAGGAGGGTGGATAATGGTGTAGAAGCAGAAAACTTCAGATGAGAGAAGCAAATGACAAAGAGTCACGGTCACTCACCAGTGCTGAACAGTGTTAGGCACTGAGCAGATGGAAGGGAGGCTGCCTTCCAGCTGAGAAACCTCGACTTCTCCCCAAGAGACAACCTGTGATTTAGAGAGCTGCCTCTACCTGCTGCCGAAGAGCGGCCTGGCAGAGCTAGGCTGAAGCCAGGGAGGAACTGTTTGGGGGAATGTGCGTGAGAGGCCCAGGTAGGAGAGAGGCCATGGGAAGGCAGGATGGAGTAACTGGCTATAAAGCTGAGGGAGAGGGAGGATCTCCCTAGAGGGCTTCTAGAACACACACACACATACACGCATGCGCACACACCTGGCACCTGAGGAGATAGCCATAGCACTCTCGGTATATTATGGGTTACCAGAAGAAAGTGGGAGCTGTTGGCTTACAGATGATGACCAAAGCCAGGAGGAGAGGGACCATGGCCTGGGAAAAACTGTAGAATGAAAAGAGAAGGGAGACTGAGGCAAAGGCCTGCAGCATTATGCTAGGAAGACCAGAGGGAAGGCGGGAGACTCATCTCCAAGAAGTCAAATAAGTGAGGCCTGAAAGAGGCCTCTGTGAAGACAAGAACAATCTTGGGGCCACAGCAGCCATTAGTGTTGGTTGAAACACAGAGGCTGGGTTTGGGGAATCTGAGGCGGTGTCTGGGAAATGAAAAATCAGACTTTTAATAAATTTGGCAATTAAAAAAAAAGTGGGGAAGTGGCCAGCTGTGCGTGTGAAATGGAAGACACTTTTGGGGGGGAGGGAATACAGCCAGTCTCGGTAATTAGAAGATGCCATGGAGAGGGAAGAGAGAAGAAAAAAAAGAAAAGAAATAAGGATGTAGAGGTAGATATTCAAAGATGATCTCAGATTCCTTTTTTTCTTGGCCATGGACCCACAACGTTACAGTGATTCCTCTCACATGAGGCTTCTGGGAAAGAGGAAATGGCAGTCTTGGGGGCTCTGTTAGGCCCCAACAGGGCATCCTAGGGATCAGCTGCTGTCTGGAAGTCAGTGAGACCCACCCCACCATTCTAGAACGTTTAAATTCAACATTTTCTCTGCTTCCCAGAAGACCCCGATGATGTGGGTCTATTCATGCCACACAGATGAGGAAGTGGAGACCTGGGGAATAAATGATGAAGATGAGATGAGAGTAAAAAGAGGAATGTGGATTCCAGCAGGGGTCTAAGACTCTGTGGTCTCATGGACTCCACAGCACTGGAGGGCTCCCCAGACCTGAGATTAGAGCCTGTGTTCTGCTTGGCCTCCTGAGGTAGCCTTCTGGCCCCAGAGCTGGGTCATTTACTATGATGCCTCCAGGTTTCTTGGGGCCCGATTCCTCCTGCTCTTCCTCCTGAACACCACCTCAGCCCTCCAGGGATGCTGAGCTCTGGGAAACTACGGTATTTCTGAGAATCAAAAGGTGGTCTGTGGTTTGGAGCTGCCTTGGGGGTGAGGGAAGGCCTGGGGCTGCACAGGGCACAATGGCATCTCTCTCTAGGACTGGCTCAGGAGCTCATCTTTCCTTACCCGCATCCCTGGAAGGCACCCCTGCTTGACCTCTCCTCCGAGTCATGTGTGGGAGAAGAGTGAGAACAGCTATGCCGTGTGGCTGAGGCTGGCTAGGGCGGGGCCAGTGTGGGTCTCTGTGCAAATGCACTTCTCTGCACAGGAAAGCTTTCTAGAATTAAACCATGGATCTGGATCTCTGCCCTGGGCTGGTGTAATGGCATCTGATTTTACTCTCAAGATTCACTTTACCCTGCTCTAGTGCAGATCACATAAACATGCCTAAGGTCAAAGGGCAATGAACCCACTCAGAAGCTGTGAACAGGTTTGGGTTGTTAAAACCTGCTCACAGCTCTCCACCACCAACCTTTCCCATCTCACTTCACCTCTGCTAGAAAGCTCTACCTATGAGCCCAGGCAGACTTTCCAAGCCTCTCCCTCATTAAAGCTGCCTTTCCAGGGCTTCCCACTGCCCTCAAGTAACACCCAAGCTCTCTGACCTGACCCTTCTTGATGTCTTCTGCTACCTCTTCAACATAATCTCCTTGCTTGTTCTCCCAGAAGCCCCCCAGGCTACAAGTCTGTGGGGACCAGGGAGTGGAATGTGGTAGTTTGGATGAGAATGACCTCCATGGGCTCACATACTTGAATGCTTGGTTCCCAGTTAGTGGAACTGTTTGGGAAGAATTGGGAGGTGTGGCCTTGTTTGAAGAGATGTGTTTGAAGTTTTTGAAGTTTCAAAAGCCCATGCCAGTCTCTCTCTCCCTCCCCCCTTCTTCCCTCCTTCGCTCCCTCTCTGCCTTTCGCCTGCTCGTCTACCACCATTACTTCCTGCCATGATAATGGACTAACCCCCTGAAACTGTAAGAAAACCCACAGTTGAATGATTTCTTTTATGAGTGTTGCCTTGGTCATGGTCTCTTCACAGCAATAGAACAGTAAGTAAGGCGTCCCCCCTGGTCCTTCCTGTTGGCCAGGAACGGATTGTCCTTCCACAATAAAGCGAGCCTTCTATAGATAGCAAAGATCTACCACCAGACAGTGGGCATCA